AAAATAATATAATATAATTTTCGAAACGATATAAATATATGGCTGCAATACGATTGCGCGCGGTCCTTATCAGCCGTCAAATATACAGATTATAAATGCACGGTAAATATCCGGTTAGGTTCCGATTGTGGTGATCCGTACGTTATTTATTACTTATTATTGCCGATTATTTCAAAGTTCAGTTTACTAACTATTTTAAAATTTCGGGGGGGGTTTGAACCCTCGAACCCCCCCCCCAGATACGGCCTTGGGCAAAACAATGCATTTTATCGGATGCCGAAAAAAGATATCATAGAAAAAACACCGGAGTCTACGGGGGGCCATGGCCCTTTGCCTCACCCCCCCCTTGGATCCGGGCCTGGTTCGTGATCGATATTAATAACGTCTGGCTGCTTGTAGTACCTATCTATTTAATTATGGATGATACGTTCCGCGGCCCGGATTAAATTTCCCTCCGCATAATTGTAAATACATTTGCGATATAAGAATAAACCATACGTGATACTACAAATTTGTATTATAAATTATTTATAAAAGTAGGTCACCGAATATCGGAGTACCATTTCATATAGTAAGTGGTTTCAAAAAAATCATTATTTAACTAATTGATTTGAGTAAGATTTTCAGTCAATGCATTTGAATATTAAGTTGAACTTTTTTTGTTTAATTATTACAACTTTAAACAACTTGAAGAATACAATATATGCGAAATTCGATAAAGACTTTTATAAGTGCTTCAACTTGAAAGTATGATTGAATGTACATTTAAGAAGTAACTAGTTAGTATTAAGATTTTATAAGCATGTGATGGCCCCGTGTTACAACTGTTACAAGTGCTCATCAAATATCAATGTCAGCAGATTTCATTTAGCAATGAAAGTTTTAATATTAGAGTCATAATTATTATTTGGAATCAACGAAGATGAATGATTACTGCTTAACTAAAATTTGATATGTTTCATACCTATAAGACGTATTTGAACAATTGGAAACTACACATTCAGGAGAAACGTCTTTCTTAAAGCAACATATTTTTAATAATATTTTAAGCTTCATATGTTTTTTAAAAATTCTAGAAAAATCCTTATATATTTTATTTATTTTTTTTATTTTTTGCTGAAAATATCAGTCTATACAATTAATATTTTCTGAATTAAAGCAAGAAAAAAAAATTACTACTACTAGATACCACACTTCAAGTCGAACATTAAACCGTTTTTATTCCTTCAAAACGACAGATACCCACACACCCGCAAATGTATTTCAATTTGTGTATTGTTCATTAATTATGTAGGCATAATCGTTGTATATCCATGTAATATAATATAATATTTTATAAAAAAAACAGCTAAAATACATTCATACATTCTTGGAGAATTTTTATACTGCACGATGAAAAAAGTACTACTAAAGTACTAACAAACTAAAAATTTAAAAAAAACCTAAATTAATAATACTTACTCGTTTCTTTAAAATGAAATAAATTATCACTATCTTCTACATTATTTCCATTTATAATTGCAAATTGTGTATCTATTTCCATGTCTACACAATTGTTATAATCTTTCGTAGAATTGCAGTTTTCTAAATTCTCCTGTACCATATCACTATACATAATATCACAATCAAACAAATCTAAGTTGTTTACTTCATTTTCATTTTCATTTATATTTGTTTGTTTGTTATCTTCCCATGGACGAAAACAAACCATACTGGATCTTCATAAAATTAAAGTAAAAATAATAACCAATCAAATAATTCTATAGTGAATAATAGAAAAATAATATGCTTATAACCATTGATGCAAATAGATGGTGACTGGGGGGGGGGGTCATGGTTTCTAAATAACCTAGTATATTTTTACCCACCTTCAAATTATAGGTAATATACAAGGATATTTTTATAGAGAGGGGGTAAAAATTGCCATTTATTGGACCTCAATTCAAAATGTAGTTCTTAAGAACTACCTAATAGTATACATATAGGTATTATTTAAAGTTTTTTTTTTAAAAACTGAAACTTTTCTAAATAATGAGTGTAGATATTTATTAATGGACCACCCGTTATTATCTCATTTTGAATTGACAATTGAAGTTGAACCGTCACCCATTCATAAATTTATTTATTGTACCTAATGGGTTCTGCATTATTATTATTAGTTATTACATAGGTAATACTTAGTACCTAGTTGGCTATACATTTTTAGACTGAATCCTCTGGCCAAGTAAACTAAATTTGGATTAATTTTAGTTAAAATAATTCATATAATAAATAAATATAAATAACCAATTTTTATTAAATTTTGATTACCTAATTACTTATAATATAATATATATTATTATATATTATATAAATTTTACACATTTAGAGCGATTAGACCATTTACTTAGATTCCATCTTATATCACACATTTTATACCATTTATCTTTTAAGTTTTTTTCACTTAGCGTTTTTTACACGTAGACACGTAGTTAACGGATTGCTTTTGTTAGAATATCGTTAGTTTTTTTATAAATTACCATATTTAATATACTGTATTAATAGGTCTGAGTTAATTGTTTATCCCATACGCCCAACAACAGATTAAATTAAATTATTTTTTTTTTTTACATGGAGTTGACATATTGTTTTTGTTAGTATATTATTAGTTTTTATAAATTTTATATAATATATTATATTTATTATTGCCGTCCTCATTCTAACGATTTGGTCCATTTATTAGACTTGTAGCCTTTAATAAATAATACAAAAATATTAACACATATTAAATGGGAATGTTTTTGAATGATAATATATATACACGGTCGTGTGCTTCGACTTATTTTTTTTTACTTAAATAGCAATTGTGTCGTTGGATTTGTTTCAAATTTCTAATTATTCAGTAGATTTAATAATAGGTAAAATAATGTCTCATCACCTAGCCTTAAGAGCTTCTTATTTTTTAAAACATTTAAATCCACGCAGTACCATGACGTGGTCACGTAGCAATTAGAAAATATTGATTTATTAATAATAATTTATCCAATGTAGGTAATATATTATTATTATATATAAAATATAGATTTGACGTGTTGTCATTTAATATCATGTACCTAGTTAAGTGGCTAAGTATTAAGTTTCAATGCATATAAAAAAAAATTTATTTAAAAATTATAGTTATTATTAAAGCTCAAAAAATACTTAAATACTTTTATAAATTACTTACCTTATTTTGTACGTACGTCTTTTCTCAAAATCAATTTAAAAAATAATAAACACAAATTGAATAAACCAGCAATACCTACTTTGAACAAAATAGTTGGGTATAAAATATCATAAATCAATTCATATTATGAAACAACCATGTTGTACAACAGTAAAGCTAGGAGTGATTATAAAATGTTCGAATAAAATAATTTTAAGGACAAATAATGATTCTATATAAAATTTATATGTAAATACCAAATATCAATAATAACAATTATAACTGTATTGTGGATTCAAAAATAGATGTTTAGCTTAATAGAAACGTTCAAAAATATATTATGTATACATCTTGTTTTCATTTTTTATAAACACAAATACGTAATACGTCCAAAAATAGAAACTTCGATAAGCAAATTATTATATCGGTACTCGGTAGTATACAATTATTATAATAATATTAAATATAAATATTATGTTAAGATGTTTAGTATTTACTATTTTATAAAACCTATTAATAAGTAATAACAAAACAAAATGGTAGGTTGACTTTAATAGTTGTGTAGACTGTAGATAAATTAAACAAATAATTAATTTTGTTTGGACAATATGGACAAAAATCATAACACTGTTGCATTAGTGGATGCGTTAAAAAACTCTTGCATCTTAGAAAAATTTGTAGGCGAGTTTTACCCACCCCCCGGTAAAAATTCGAAGGTGGGTAAAAATCGCCCGTTACGCCAGGTGATTTTTACCTCAGGCGATTTTTACCCCCCCGGTAAAAATTCGAAGGTGGGTAAAAATCGCCCGTTACGCCAGGCGATTTTTACCTCAGGCGATTTTTACCCCCCCGGTAAAAATTCTCGGGGGTACAAATCGCCGGTGACACCGGTCTGTATGACCGCATCCATTGAGGGGATAATGGAGTGCTTTTGGCATGTCGAGGAGCCCGAGAACGCGCCGGTTGCGTTCACCGAGGAAGGTTACTGCGAACAGTTGCTATGCGTTTGACATCGGATCGCTTCGCGGTTCTGTTACCGTTTCGCTCGCCGACAGAAACGTTCGTCGGGTCTCGCGAGGTAGCTACACGACGTTTTGACGCCATCAAACGTAAACTGTCCGCGGATCCAGTATTAAAAAATGTTTATGTTAATTTTATGACCGAATATATTGCCTTAGGACGGTAATCGGTCAAAATATTGAAATCTATCCGTTTTTACGTAGATTAGTAAATTACGCATTATAAAAATATAAATATAAATATATTATATAATATATAAATTACGTTAGTGGTAATAACATCACAAAATATACTGTACACACATTAGTCAAATAGTCAAATAATATAAAATAAAATGTAAAACAATTTGTTTCTATGAACACAGTATACCTACACGTAATAAAATAAAATATTAAATAATTTGCTAAAAAAATGACTACCTACACTATTTTCTAAAAATTTAGAAAAAAAAACTCATAGTACATCATTGTAAAATCAATACATTCATCGCTCCGCTCAGAATCTAAAATTTTCTAAAAAAATTAGTTAAACCTATATACCTACACTGCATCACTAACAGTAAAATAAATTTTGCACAAACATTAGTTAAATAGTCAAATAATATAAAATAAAATGTAAAATTATTTGTTTTTTATGAACAATATGAACATACGATAAAATAAAATAGTAAATAATTTGTTAGGGAAAAATTTAGAAAAAAAATTTAGAAAAACGTTTTTAAAAATAGAACATTTTATTTTAATTTCTAGTAAAATTAGCAATAGCATTTAAAAAATTTGGAATATCCCTACTTCCATCATTGTACTCTTCGCAAAGATGTTTTAACATATATTTTAAATTCGGCATACACTTTCAACACTAAGTTTTCTACATCATATGTTAATTGTTTCATAGAGTTTCTAGCAGCATTGTGAATAACGTGGCAATTACAATTTGCTTTTATTATTTTAGTTTCTGGATGTTTTTCGAGAAGTTTTTGATAGACCGAATTACGAACGCCGTAATTTACTGATGCATTGTCGGCAGAGAATCCAGATAATAATTCAACATCTAAATTTGATTTCTGTATAAAATTTTCAATATTTTCGAAAATTTTTAATGATGTCTCATCTGGATCTTCATAAAAATCCATTAATTTATTTTGGATACCTTTTTGAATGTGAAAATACTGAACAACAATAGGGTACATTTTTTGGGAACCCTTATTAGACGCATCAATAGCAATAGAAAAATAACTACCATTTTGAAAAGCCGTAACCATTTTCAAGTCTTGAATTGCTAGTTCTATTGAATTAGGACTGAGAATGTTTTTGACTATTGCTTCTGCTTTAGTACGTCCACAGTGAACTTTTTTTGCCATTACAGAATCTCCGTATAGAGAAGTATTCAATTTTATTCCACAGTCCATACTTAAATAGCTATGATGATGATTGATTGCGTGGTAAATTGATGCTATTTCAATGATTGCTACCTTAAGTTCATCCGAGCTATTTCGTTTTGTCATAAATGTGGTCATTAATGAATTACGTTGCAAATTCTGTGTAGTTTTTTTATGGTTTTCACTGTTTAAATGAGTAGTTAGAGCCTTTTCGCCATCCCATTTTACAGTAAAATTAACATTACAAAATGAACATTTCGCTTTTTTCTCATCTATTTTAACTAACCATTTCTTATACTTTTCGTTAATTAACCATGACTCTTTAAACTTAGTTTCATACTTTTTTACTTTTCTTGGATTATCTTCAAATTCTTCCATGATGATAATAATAAATAAATCTAAAATAAATATCGATGCACGATTACACTGACACAAGAACTAAACGAAGATATTCGGATTCGATCAAACACACTCGACTGTGAGGTTGAAACTGATTCGTAAAATCGTAATCGTAGATTTATAAACCGTAGTTCATAATCTTATTATTCTTATTATCGTGTTATTACTTTATTAGTATTTATTAGTAGTATAAATTGAATGTATAAGGCATAATAATGGAAACAAGTCTATATAAGTCATAAGACTATAAATCGTATCTTATCTTATCTTTTGGCGTAAGAAAATCAATGTTTTTTTAATTATATAAAAATACGTCGTAATGTTATGACGACCCGGAGAATAATTCACTGATCCCGTAGCCCGTAGATTTATATGTAAACCCGGATTATCCGTTTGAAACCCGGAGAGGTGGCAACCCTAGACGTACCTATGTCGACGAGATTTGTGACGGGGCTGACACAATTTCCGACGTGTTGAAACTCCAGTCCTATCTGGTTTCGGTATTGACTATTGAGTAAGTCAGGCCTCGAATTAAAAAAAAGGCATCGAACACGCCAGCCGTGTTGCAAGCTCTTCCGGCCGCCGATCGCGTGTGCGCCCCGATGTTGTTTGGGGATGACGACGGATACGGCACTAAGATGTTGGGTCTGTCGTGGCATCCCGAACAAGATTCTTTTTGTCGTGCGTTAAATCTCGAACCACCGCTCGTCTTCACGAAGCGTGGTATTTGGTCACTGGTTGCTCGCCTGTGTGTGGCACTTTAATCCGCCTAGTGCCCCGCATTTCGGGGGTCTACGGGAAGCAGCCATCCGGTCGACGAAACGTCTTTTGGTGCGTGTAATTGGGACACATATCTTCGCGCATGAAGAGTTCTCAACGGTTTTAACTCGTGTAAAGTCCATTCTCAACTCACGCCCGCGTCTTCGGATCCGCAGCGACATGTGTAGATTCTCAAAAATTATTTTTGCCCCCACGTGAATAGAGTCCAAGTTACGCCTATGCCGGTGAGGGACCGTTTTAGGGATACATTTTTACCCAAGTACACGTTGTAATACACTGAGTAGGATTAAGCGTAAATAATTCACGATTGCACTTCCCACTGCATGTGATATTATAATCTAACGTCGAACGAATCACTATTTTAATATTATAAATATATTCCTAAAGCCCATTTGGACTTATGGTATCCAATTGTGGGGAGCTGCAAAAAATCGAATATTTACAAAGTGCAATCAATCAATATCACTTCGAATAATTACCAACGCTCCCTTCTACGTTACAAACCAAACACTACATTCCGATCTCAGAATACCAACTGTTGTAACCGATGTGGCCACATCCTCCTATAAGCGCTACCGCTCTCACCTTACCGACCATCCCAATCCGCTTATTCGCCCTCAACTCCCCAAACATTCCCGGCAATCCACCGAAAAGATTAAAGAGGCGCTGGTGTCGTGATTTAATTAGCTAGCACTGTTTAATATATATATATATAAAAAAAACTGCCAACATAAGTGTATGTAGGTATATAATGTAAAATGGCCAAACAAATATCAGGTCGAGTGTTACTGCGGGTAGCTTACTCCCCTCACGATTTCATCGTCAACTGTATTATTTTAATTTTAGCTCATATGCTTATTGTAATTATCATACAGATCGTATATTTTCTAATAAATTAAAATATATATATATATATTATATAATGACACGATCATCTAATCGCGGTGGGCAAAGAGCGTGTAATGTGGCCCTCAAAAATATGGTAACAAAAACGCGCGGTCCGTCGCATGAGCAAGGAATGTCTCTTAGTAATATAATCATTTGTTTATCGTTTATGTAACCACTAACCAATATTCAAATAATTAAATGTAATATGTTGTGTGTAACAATATGTATCGTGATCCGCGGGCAGATATTAGGCTGACACCCTCGTGTGAAACAAAACGCCCGGGATACATCAGAAGAATATATTGTATGACATTCAACAATGCAGGCAATGGTCGAATCGGCAAGCTGCTGGGGAAATCTCGGTGGGCCACTCAAAATATAATCCAGTTATGAGCGTAATTTGGTAACTTTTTCTTTTTATGATAATGAGAAATGAGTACTAACATGAGTATAGAAGTATATAATTTAATGAAACATAGTGGGCCGATACCATGACTATCCTGTTACACCGTGACCGACTCGACAGAGGACGAAAACGCAACACGACAGTAGTATACCACTAAACCATGCTATACAGGATGCGTGGACGGAAAAGGACGGATTACTTGTCATTGTATAAGAACGGCGTGCAAGAACAAAGCGATAAAGAGCGCAAACAAATGTGACATACCACATACAAGCTGATAAAATGTATAAATTCGATGGGAGCACTACAGTGACGCTCAACTGTTCAAGGCGGTATGTGCCACAACAAAATACGAATGTACATTGAAATTAAGATGACACTTACGGCTAAGGCGGACATGTAACAAAAACGGACATAAAACGTCAGCGTAATTAATAAAATAATTCGTGATGCTATAAAAAAACGGCTGTCGCGACATAGCGACATGGCTGTCACTAGGACGCACACTTGATCCAGGCAGAAGACGGGACATGACATGTCAATATATTAATATTATATAGATGTCGTTGATAATGACATCTTGGCCAGGTGCAGTAACGACGGGTTCGCGTTTTAGTTCAAATCCACGGTGACGGGTGTATCACCAGCTGAAGTCATATGCCTGCGGTGAAATCACAACTTTCCAACTTGATTTTTATCGGGCCTGCATATTTCAGCTCATTAAAAACTATTGATGCATCGAGTTGGTGGAGCACAGTGATCGGATCTTGAATTCGGACGAATTATTATTGTGAATCCATTGCGATATTCTTTATGGGCATGTATGTTAATGTATTATAAGAGCATTATGGTTTAAACTGTAGAATATAATAAATTATTACACAGTGTGCGTTATAACAATAATACTAAAATAATATAATTTAAAGTAGAAGGATTGTATTTTTATTATCCAAATTGGGTTTATTTTTATGTATGAAAGACGATCTATGCGTTGATGCAAAAAAATTTGAAATTTTTAATATTTTTTTTCACTTTTGAATTGCGGTGACATTAATATTTATAATTGCACTGTACTATTTATTGAGGGTTCGGACACACTTTAAGACTGAATCATTCGACCCACCTCACCAACACGTTCTTTTGTTCTGCGATATTTATACTTGGTAGCTTGTGCTTAAGGTTGGTGGGCGATGGTTTAGTACTCGACGGTATAAGTAGTAAGAGGGTACACTTTTCATAAGATCAGAAATTACGATTAATAAATGCACACCTTTTAAGTCATTTGTTTACTTATTAGAAATTTGTTTTATCTACATTATAACCTAAAATGTTGTATAACTGCTGTAGTTTTAAGTCGGTATGAAAATGTGTTTTTATAAGAGAATTCATTAATATGGTATCAAGTATTCACGAAAGGAATGAACAGTAAATATTTATAGAACATAATAACATGGGAAACTTGCTCTTACATTTCTCATTATTGTAATTTGAAAAGACAATTACGTTAATAATTTATATTTGCTTCTCCTATTACCTCAATTTTAATATTGTCGAATAAATTAATCAAATGCCAAATACTCTATGATACATCACATTTCACTTGTTTTATGTTCTCAACGTATTATAGCCCCCCCCCCCCATATGTAAATAATATACATATTTTTTAAGTTTCACTATAATTAAACAATACAACAAAACATTAAAAACATTAATTGGGTAGATCATAATTGTTTATTTGTTTGTACCTACCACCAGAAATATTTGAAATCATAAATTATACCAATCTATTCCTTATAACCTAATAAACTTGCAATGAAATAAATAAAAAAAAAAATATGGCAATTAAAAAAAGGATTTTTAGTTAACTAATATTTTTAAGGCATTTCAGTATTTGTTATATACCTTGGTCAATAATGAAATTATATTCTCAAATGTACAATTTGTTTGCAGGGCATTTTACGTTTTGTCCAGATCCATGGCATGGTGACATTATTGGGAGAAAATCATCATGTTGCCACAATAATGAAAATGTTAATAAGTTATAAGTTATAACAATCAATGAATGACTGATTAGGATCTGGTGATATGAGAAATTCTTACATTAATATTGACATTTTTTTTATATATAGATTAGGGCTTTACCACACTTTCCACCACAACAGATTCCAGAATTTCCCGAAGATTTCTACATTCTTGGGAATTTTCACAAGGCAATCACAAGGCTGGCAACTCGTATGGGCATACTGAACCGAATTGTTCAGTTGGTGGACTATGTTCGACGATACTGGTTAACAACAGTACGCCCATCTGGGTTTACTGTTTATGGTGTAAATATCCGTACCAATAATTATGTGGAATGTTTTCACAGCATGCTAAAGTCCACCATAGGCCTACATCCCCCAGTCTAGTTCTTTTACGGTAATTTATTTTTATAAAAATATTTAATTGACAATAACTAGAATGGTGATTGATTTTTAATAATATATTGCAGATCGATTATGTTCCATTGAAAATAGAGTTCGGAGGGAAACCTTACAAACAATCAACAGCCAGCGAGTAAGGCTATAAACTTTATAAGTTTAAATTTTTGAAATGGTTTTTAATAAATTAAACTTTAATTAAAGGTCTGAAGATCAAATGTGTCTAGCAGAGACACAAATAACTGCATTTTGGCTGATGCTCAACAAAGTGTACGCTATGACACAATGGCATATTTAAGGAGAGTTTCCTACTCAGTGAAAGGATACATAAATATGTAAATAGGCCCTTTAGCTAATGGTTGGTACCACATAAATTCAATTCAGTGTATAAACTAAATGACAATATAATTGAGTTAAAGAAATCCTTCCTGAAGATTTGGGACAGCTGCAGATACCAATGGTTGGACTTCAGCCTCTGTCACCTG